AGTCAAGACTGTACTTGCTGACCCCCATGTTAGAGCTAGTCTAAGGGGACCTGATACACATGCAAAAGTCTTTCTTTTCAGTTGTACTTTAAATTGATTGGTAGGTTCACAGCATTTATAGAACACAAACAGGTGATAAAACACTTATGCTGACTGAAGTCTAGATGATGACCTTCTAAATGAAGTCCCGATCTTTCTATTTAAGAACACTTAATACCATTTTCACTTTATTTTGTCAGTATGTTTGCACCTTTTTTTTTTTATTTTCTTATCCTCAAAAAAGAGCCTAAAAGGCCTTAAAAATATTAGTTTGGAATCTTAATGTGTTTTGAAAACACAGATTTGTTTAATTTGCAGTCAGTTGTAGCAAATTACATTTCTTAAACTGGGTAAGTAGCAAGTAATTTGTGAGGTTTGTAAACACTCTGAAAATAATTGCTTAATCTTATCTTTACTGAAACCTATACTCTTCCGTAGTGCTTCTTATCCCTAGAATATCTGATGTGGATAGGGTAAGCTTAAATGATCTCCTTACCTCCCTTTAACAGGCATACTCTCTAAGCTTAGATATAGCCCACTGTTGTCCACAAAGCATAGAGCAAGAAGTAAAAAGTATTTAGTGTGATACAATCCTTTCTGATTATCATATATCCATTCTCAATCCCAAAATAATTATACTTTTTATGTCAAAAGCTTTACAGCTTTACCACCTCAAGCAATATTTTACATCTGTCAAGAAGGATTTATGCAATAATGACTTAAACTGCAAAATGGAGTCCTTGAAGGAAGAGCTGTCAAACATTTTCAACTCAAATAACTTTATTAAAATAAGAATTGATATTCTGTATAAACAATATCTTACCTTCAACAATAATACAGATTATATAGCTATAAGGTTTGTGAAAATGAAGTTATGATATAGTGAGGAATATACTATACTGCTACTTTGATATCAGAGTATAATTTTTGAATTAAGCAGATGTTAATGCCTAATGGGCAAGACTTTAAACAAAAATCTGTTTCAAAATAATAGTTCTTGTGATTTGTCTGTATTTATTTACTGTTCTTTTTAAAAAGGGATATTTACATTAAAAAATAAATTTACTGAGTCTTTAATCCCATGAGTACATCCAGTGATGTTTGTGGAGCTCCTTGTGTGATGAGAACCTATAAATTTGGACCCTTAGTTTTGGCGTCCATCTGTTCCCATTAACCATCTTTCTCAGTAGTAACTAATTATTTTGATAACTATATAACCACCTACTGTGGCACTAGTCTAACAGGACAGAGGACTAGAACTTTGCCTGGACTGTGTAAATACCTTTCTAAAAGGAAAAAGGAGTGAGGAGAAATTAAAACCAAATGTAGGCTATATTAACAATCTTATTCTGATACAAATACTGCAAGAGGAGCTAGTAAGGCTTTTAGCTGCAAACGTGAAAAACTTCTGCGAAGGTAGAGCACCGATGTGGTTGGGAGACAGCCTGCTGGGTGCGTAAGTAATGCTGGCATCCCACCTCCATGCCACCTAAACAATTACACAAAGCCATCACAAGTATTCTCCCCCTCTCCTCTGCACCCTCCCCACGCTGCACAGTGAAAAGGGAAACATGCCCAGTCTAGGTACCATGTTTATAAAGCCGTGATACATCAAATTTGCATTCTCCTTTGACCACTTTATCTTCTGTCTGCTGTGTTTTAAGGCAGTGTAGATTCAAGCAACTGCCCTTTTCTGAAAATCAACCTGCTACAAAATTTTTCCCATCCTTCTGTCCCCTTTTCTCCAAGCGTGTGATCTGGCCTAAAGGTTGAAGTAGTGAACAACCAGCAGCATTCAGTCTTGCATCAACAGGATATTTAAAACTCAAAATCTTGCACTTTCTTTCACCTAGAAAAGTAGACTATAGACCGGTAGAGAACATCAGAATGCTAATTCCCAGTATGTATGCAATACCATTTTTCTAGTGCAAGAATTTCGTTTTATGTTGAACTTTAAAGCTGTGACATTTTAAAAATATGTGAGGTGGTATTTAGAATTAAAAAGAAAAAGCATTAGTTATAGAATGATTCCCTTTCTGATATCTGCATTGCGGGACTTCTGATGACAGATTAGCTTTTTAAATGAGGGGATATATGATCCCACTGACATTTGCTTTACTTTGAAATATTAATATAATTTTTAATACTATCAGTGGCTTATGTAGAGTAAACGATAGTCTGATGTGGAATAAGGTTTTATTTGCAATTTACTGGGCATCTATTCAGGACTGTGTAATATGGTCTTCAGAAACTCCTGCTGGTGGAACCTCAAGCAATTCACACCTTCATGAGCTATCTTCCTCCTCCATATGCTTAGTATCATGTTAAATATTATACAACAGGTAGCTATAAAATATAATGTCAAATCAAACTTTCAAGCAGTGGGTAGTTCATTGGAGTAACTTGGGTTGCTCACATGGAGAAAGTTACATTTCTGACTGTGCTGGTATCGATCTCCTAAAATATTCCCATATCCACGCACAGCAAACAATACAAAATAAACCACTAACCAGGCACTTAGCTCTCAGATTTTTAGAAAATTCTTTAAATTCATTTTGCTTCAGAACCTGGAGGAAGTCCTTGTTAGGTGTCGCCATTCTGTATATTGTTCTAATATACAGACTATGTTATGTATAGCGTAAATATATATATTATACTCTCTATATAGCAAAATCAAGTTTGCAAACTTGAAAAAAGGAAGTAAGTGAAGAAGTGAAGATGAAAAGTGAAGTAGGTCTTTTCAGTAATTTAGAATAACTATAGAATATGTTTACTGACATTTATTATATCCATCATATAGGTAGTTTCAATTTTATGATACCACATAAACTTCAGATCTTTTTATCACATTTTGTAAAGAAATTGAACATTATGTGGAATGAAACAAAAAAGTCTGTATATACAAATGATCAAGCTGTCAGACATTTACGCATTTCAGTGTCAGACCTATCTTGTATTTTGTCAAATTTTGCCTGTAATCAGTGACTTGGTATTTTAAATGATATTTCCAATTCAAAATAATTCACCTGTACTTGTTTAAATTTAGCAGTGCATATAGTGCACATGCTAAATCCTGTTCACATTTTGGCCAGTAAAGTTTTGAGGAATTCAACCCAAATTTGTCTAGAACTGTTGTCTGTAGCTTTTGAAATTCCTTAGCCTTCAAACATATGGTCTAGTAATTTAAAGAAACTATTCACAGAAGTGAAGTTACTGAGAACCCTTATGCATTAGATTGTTTACACTGAATAATCCATAACTCTCATTTATAATGTGCTTCAAAATTGAAAACTATTTACAAAAGGTACAGCAATTTTTACGGACTGTTTTACTTTGGTTTGCGTCAAACAGATTATGCTGTGTTACATGATGCTAGAATTCAGCATTTTAGAAAAATATATTTTTATGGTAATTGACAGATAAGCAGTACTTCAGTTAAGTCCCTTTCCCTCCCTCCTAATATCTTGGGAGACTGAAGCACTTTTAAACAACCAGATCTCAAAACAGTGCTCCAGGCTGGTGGCTATGAAAGTTAGCAATGACATCCTCCTTTTGCAATATTATTTTTAACACATGCCAAGCTAACACAAACACAGGCTAGATGTGTAAAAGACACACGGTGTCAGGTCTCCTGAGAAATCTATGTTCAAGGCACAGCCACAACAACAAATCTTGACCAAAATCTGCTCCAGACCACCAAACCAGATTGAAGAATAAAGGACTCTACTGAGAATATGATAAGAAGAGTATGCTTAAATATTGGTAGCGTGGGTAGAATGGTTGGCTCGAGTCCTATCTGAATTATACCAGCCTAAGCTAAAAATAATATTACTTAAGTCCGTCCAAGATAACAACAGAATTATTGAGAACGGGGTTTAACTCTGTGACTTTAAAATGCGAGAGCATCCATTGCATGTGATTCTAAAATTGATGCAAACAACACACTGGCACTTCTCCAGAACTAATTTAAGCTCAGCATTTGAATATGAATTTCCTTTTCCCTCTCCCAAGAGTGTACAGAACAAGAGACAGAATAAGGTACATCACACTTATCCATTACTTGGATTTGTTTGGAAGATGGATATTTCTGTAAATAACCCTGGGTAATTAAAAAAAAAACAACAAACCCTACCTATGACTATTATCATAATTAGTTTTCACGTGTATGCATTTTTTTAATCTGCAAATAAAGCCATTTATTCATTTTATGCTCTTAACAAGAAAAAAGCATCAGCATAGCAGATTTAGCCATTCTTCATATATTAAGTCTTCACTGAATAACAGGGAAACCCTTCATAGTTTAGCCATCTCAAAATTTTATTCTGACAACCTAATTCTAGGGCAACTTCTGTGGTTCAGTCGCAGGTACTCCAACTTCACAGTATCTCACCTCTGAAAAAGACTTGCCCCTTTCTTTATAAGCTAATGCTTTTTTCATGATAGGCCAATTTTTGCTACTTTTAACTCTGTTATATTTTTTCCAGTGAAATACTGCATTTAAATCAAGGTATGGTTCCAGTCGTGTGAGGCAGGCAGAGTTAAGCCCCCTCAAACTGCTACAGCATTCCTATGTCCTGTGAGATGAAACAGTTCATAAAAGTTAAGATTCACAGGATGCCCCCTCTGTGCTTGTCTTATCTGTCCATTGTTGTAGGGCTGTTTACTTTGTGAGATTTACATCTGCTTTAAACCAACCAAGAGGAGAACTTTTGTTCAACAGTTGCAAACACAGTGCCAGCTTCATTCAGCTGTTAGAGTCAGCGTACAGTGATATAGTCTGTACACCCACTACTTTCAGGGCAGATTCCCTAACTGGTATACGTAAGTGTGCTTCACTGGACTTCAGGGAAATTACAACACTACTCCAGCAAAGGGTCTGGCCAGCAGATCATACACACCTCTTTTACCAATCAACTGATAACCAAACACACAAAAAGTCGTAAAATAAAAACAGACTTTACCATCTTTGTGATAATAGGTGACTTCTACTTTCCTCTCCTCTGACCCCAGCAGTGCTTGAGCAATTTGGGCAATATGATGTCTTTTGGTCTCTGGCCCATGAAGAAAATCACAGGTGCAAGGTTTCTGCATGACATCTGGCCTGGAGAAGCCGGTCATCTCACAGAACCCATCATTGCAGTAGATGATAGCACAATTCTGCACTCTAGCATTAGCAATGATGAATTTTTTATCTGCAATAAAAGAAAGTGATGCATTTTTTAGTACTCTTTCAGCATTTCATAAAGTGTCGATTGCATGGATGGATGCTAAATAACCCTTCTTTTCACTGGAATGCCTGAAATGCAGAGATTTTCAGTTATTTAATGTAGCTAATTTGATCCACAGCTTTTAAAGAAACTTCAATCAATTTAGAATACATTACAGATGAAGACAGTTGTCTTTTAAGGAAATAAAACCAGATTATGCAAGTCTGTTGCAAAACTCCTTTTGACTACAATATTTTGTCTTTTATAGCTTCACTGAAACCCAGGTGATGAGCGCCATCCTGTCAGCCATAACTCCAGGCAAGTCCTTGAAAAGTTAGTAGCTTCTTTTTGGGGGGAAGTGGGGCCTCAGGAAGGGGACTCTCCTCAAGTGAAGGGCTTCCTGGGGTAAGGTCCAACCGGCTCAGTCTACTCTGTAGGGATTTTCATTGAGGTGAATGACAGAAAGTTTATAGTCAGTATCTTAACAAAACTATCTAGAAGAGAACATGATAATTTTTTTTTTCCTCTGTGATTGTTTTAGAAGTTATATTTATAAAAGAAAATATTCCTTAGTTAAAAAGAAAAAAAAAAACCCCCAAGAGCATGAAGGTACATGAAAACCAAAGATTGTGATGTTGGAAACATTTTGCATAGTCCGCTGAAGTTCCGTGCCTCGGTCCATCATCCTTTTCCAAACCCTCACCTGACAAAAGGTTCAAAAGTTTTCAACTGTTATTTCATTTGTTTCTGTTTACCACTATAACACACTATTCCCATTGTAATTATAAATGTGCAGCTTTGATACATTTACTGTTAGTAACATGATTTTCTGCTTACTTAATCACATTAGTAGGTCCCTTGCTTTATAAAAGACTTTTTACGTGACACCAAGTTAGCAGTACAAGTCTTCAAAATTTTAATGATATCCTGTCTTTAAACCCAGTGAAATATTTGGAGAAAAAAATATGGATTTCATTCTTGCTTTTTCTACTGTCTTTCAATCATGCTGAACTTTCACTACCACTTGCCTATTTAGTAGGTAGTGCTTTATTCTCTTAAAAATATATACAGTTTACTGCATAAAAACTTTACCGGAGTAGCAACACTGACTTAGCATTTAGATAAATTAGGACTACAAACACCATCTTTATTTTCTTCTCAAATAATATAAATATTAAATTGGTAACGTGGGTTTAAGTGTAAGGAAGTATCTAAACTGGAATTAGCTGTAAGGGTTTGCACCAGACTGATACTGCAATTATGCTAAATATTTAAATAAATGTACATATATCAAAACTACTGTTTCTAAATGAAATTCATTTTAAGCATCAAGTGTTCCTTCTCACTGTTAACAGTAAACCAGAATTCGGCCAGGAAAAACACTTCAGCTTCAGCCTCCTCGACAGGTAGTAAACTGCTGCATTGGAAAAGATCTCACAAGACTCTCCCTGAGGATGCATTTGCACTGGTTTGATAGATATTTTAGGCTTCCATAAACAAAGCAGAAATATTTGACAGCTACGTTAAAATGCAGTCATGACAACAAGGTAAGAGAGTATTTTCCCCTTAATAACTCCTCTGCATCTTATCTGTTCCCTCTAAATCAAAGTCTGGCTGTTCTTCTTTATTTTGAAAAAACAATGATAATTAATAATAATAACAATATCATAATAATAAATCTAGCTTATTTTTTAGACATCGCACAGGCAGCAAGATTATACACTCTGCTTTTAGAGCCGTCTTACCAGTTCAGAAGAAGGTAAAAGATACAACTTCTATAGCTATACAATATGGATACAGTCAAAGATAAAAACTATTCCTTGAAACAGCGGGGGGGAATAAAAGCCCGATAATTCAAGTCGGCAGTCCGTATGCTAGATCAAAACCAACGTTACTCCTGCCAGGGATCCCCTCCTTACCTCTGGGGTTTTCTTTCCAAGCTACAAACTTAAAATAGTCTGGAGCTGCTGTCCATTTAGTCACAAGCAGAATCAAACTACTGTAGCAAAATAGATAGAAAGAGAGAACTTACTTTGCCCTTCAAATTTTCGTATGATTGTACCCAAAAATGTATTTTGTGGTGCCACATGACCTCTGCGAACAGGCATGTTTGTACAGGTCTTCGGTTTTCTGTGCACAAGGACTTCTCCAAGGATCTCCTACACGGCTCCAGCCCAAAGCACCGAGCCAGCTACCCTTTGTGACAAATCATCGTCCTCTGGAGCTCGGAAATCTCTTCCCATTAGCACCACTTCTAGATACACGCTTTTCCTATCGGAGTCAGATCCATCCCCCAGTTTCTTTCTTTTTCTTTCTTTCCTTCCTTGCTTTCTTTTCTATTTTTTTTTCCTGGAGGAGCTCGGACGCTATTGTCTGGGGCGGGTAGGGGTGGGGTAAGCAGCAGGAGGTGGTGGTGGGGGGGAAGATTACAAGGGTAATCGATCTCTAGCACCAAACATCGCCAATTTTCCAAAGCAAACGGCTGTGACCCGGCAGTTTCCGACGCTGTAGTGATGGTTAGAGGGCTGGAAGACTAATGTTGCTCCGCTGCCAGAGGGAGTGACGTTCCCCCCCTCCGGGCTTCACCACGGCGCGCAGCAGCTCGGATTACTCAAGCGTGGCTTAGCAAGAGCCAGCCAATAAATCTCTTCAAAACTCAGCGACAAACAGCGGCAGCAGGAATGAGCTACACCCCGGCAGCACCGCGACGTGCCACATCCCCCACGCTGCGGCTGCAGGGGGGCAGCGGGGACCGAGGGCGCTGGCGGCGGGGG